CAAGAGATGTTTGTCCGTGCGCCACGGTTCGATGCCGTCCGCCTGCTCCGGTTCCGCTGCTCCGGTGCCGCTGTGGCCAGTCCTAGCACGACCAAAATTGACCCGCTCCGCTTCGTATACGCTCTCGTTGCTGTCGTTCCCAGTCGGTTCCTCGCTTTCTCCCTCGTCGCACTTAGGGTTCTCGGTCTGAAGATTCTCGCGCCGAAGGGTCAACCAGCCCAATCAGCTCGTCACCACCTGTCCCCTCCTCCTTTGATGGCAAAACCAGGTTACTGAGACAGTACAGCTCCCTCTAGCAAACCTAGGGCCGTGTACATAGTGCCCGTCCACCTTTCTGATGACGTCTGCCTCCGCGCAAAAAGATGAGATGGGCATTGCTGCCTACACCGACGGCCTGGAGGCCCGCGCATCTGCACGTTTGTACCTGACGCACCAGTGCCGACCCAACTCCACCACTACGCACGCCTCGCGGCGGGTGCGCCGCAGCAAGAAGGTATCGGTCCCCTGAGGGTGAGTCTAGCCCTGCTCGCTAGAAAGACCCCCCCCCTCGCTATGGGTCATGCCTACGCAAAACCTTGCCGAGGCAGCGAGGGGAAGAAAGGAAGGGTACGTGCCTACAAAATCAAACGTTTTTAATACATGGGCATCGGTGCATCCCTCCATTTGTGCCCGAATGTCAACATCTTGTGCAACTTTTAAAATATTCTCCCCGCTAGAGGTAATCCAACATTCTTTGGCTGCAATGCCAACCTTTACACATACTTCACGTCACGGTGCGTGAAGGCACATGGCTGAATACTATCGAGGACTGCATTGACAACTTTAGCCACCCCTTCCGTTATCGTCCCACAGCATGCCGTAATTCCACGTGTCGCTACCAATCGTTTATGCAGTTTGGCTGTTAGGTATCGTGCTGGTATATTTTCAGTGTTTTCATACTGAATGTCACCTTCCTCATCCTTATACTGTCGCTGGGGGATAGGAACTTTTTCGTATGTCAAAAACTTATGTTGTCGGTCAATAATCTCCCGTTGTGTATGTTGTCCCCCAAAGTGTGCATACGGGCTATCTACTGTGCGTCCCACATATTTCACACCGTTCGTCAGGTTAACAATATGGTGACGACGGTGTTCTTGCGGGGGAGCGGTCTCCCGTTGTTGCTGTCGTTTCCGCACGAAACCCATATGGGATAGGGCCGACCGCTACGTTGGTGTTCGTACGTTCCATCAGGGATGTTACCCTTACTCTTTGCAGTGTTCAGCCAGGTGTCGCGTCTTCTCCATAACAGCTGGCAATGATGGTGGTTACTCTCTGACGCTTGTTTCGACCTCTGATACACCGCGTGCATTTTCCCAACTTTAGTGTTTGGGTCCCATCCACGTTTGTTTGGGTCGAGGCCGTTTTCTACCTCGTTTCCGAGACATGCCATTGGTTTCGGTATTGTCGGGAACAAAATCGTGGTATAATTGCACTTCACCGAGAGAAGAACCAGATGCCTTCCTCGTACAGATCCAAATGATATTCCATGGCGTGATTGTCGGTATCCGCCCATGGTGGTGGCAATGGTTGGTAGTCATGAAGAGGAGGGGAAGGTGAAGGGGTAGAGGGTTGCAGGGCTAAGGTGAAGTGGGGAAGTCGAAATATGAAGTATAGTTTATTTACGACATCTTTGGGGTAAATAATTTGTCCAAGGGGTTGTTGTTGTTGTTGTTGTTGTTGTTGTCTTCACATTAAACCGTATGTCAGTTGCTAAATGCCAAAATCTAGCAAAGACTCTCAGCCCGTGGTCACGAGAGTGCTAGAGCCATCTGAGGATCTAAAGAACACGCACACATGTAACGAGAAAAAGGTATCCAAGAGTCCGAAGAGGTACAACTAAAAATCCCTGCAGCACCGTATGCGTGCCCAAAAACTGAACTGCACGTCCGTCCCACCGTTCGACTACAGCAGCATCACCCCCTCCCTGTCCCACTCTATACCAAAACGGAAGATTGCCGACCACAGCATGCTGCTGTCTGAAGTGCTGTCTGTACAAAAACACCATGGTCGGCATGGAACANACCGTACAGTGAAAAAGAACAAACAACCAAAGCCATCATAGCAGTAATTGACAATCACCCGAATCTCTCCCGATCGTCTGTGTTTTGCACTGCATTGAAAAATATCGACACTAGCTAAGAATCGTTCCACATTGAAGGGGTCTTCCACGATCAGGCACAAAACCAATGCACCCGGGTTAGCCACGCCATCTCTGACGGGTCTCTCTACAAAACCAGTGACGATGTCATCACACAAAACCAACACGGAAAGTCAGAAAAAAAAAAGAAAAAAATTGACAACACACAGATAGAAGTGTTTGTCCGTGCGCCACGGGTCGATGTCGCCCGCATGCTCCGGTGCCACTGCTCCACCCAGCGCCGCTGTAGTCAGCCCGAGCAAAACGCCACTCGACCTGCTCCGTCCGTACACGCTCTCGTTGCTGTCCTTCCCAGTCCGTTCCTCGCTTTCTCTCTCATTGCACTCAAGGTTCTTGGTCTGAAAAAATAAAACTTCTCGCGCCGAATGGTCAACCAGCCCAGTTCAGCTCGTCGCCACCTGCTCCCTCCTCCTTTGATGGCGAAGCCAGGTTACTGAGGCAATACAGCTCCCTCTAGCACACCTAGGGCCGTGTAGTGCCCGTCCACCTTATGAAATAGATATATGAAAAGTGTATGTGGGTGATGTGGGGTGTATGTGGCTCGTCTCGGTCGGGCACCGACTTCGACGTTTCTAGACTATGCATTCAAACATCAGATTACAGGTAGTTATCACTACTGTTTCTAGCCCTGGGGGGTCAGACCGCGAGAGATTATGTGTTTGGTGATCTGATTGGATATATTATGCGGTGAGATTCAGGTTGAAAGGCGATTCTGCTGCATGCTCAAGTTGCCACGATGACATACCGCCGGCGTGGTGTTGTACAGCCACGTATCCATACGTACGTGCGAAGGACGGTTTGTGCTGTAGGTAAACAAAGCACACGCGTATGTATCCATACATACGTGCGAATGACGGTTTGTGCTGTCGGGAACATACGCAGTAGTAGTACAGATGCACGTACATACCGATGTGATAATTCTCCAGCATGCGATCCGTCTGCAGGCAGCTTGATGCCGTAGACCACTGTCATATGTTGAACAAGCATGGTAAAAGGTGCACAACAATGCCGTTGTGCCAATGTTCCCAATATCTGTGGGTTTCGACGGGCCGAAATCTTGTGTTGGATTAGAACGGGCAACAAAATACAAGAAGAGGGGGAATAAAGCTGAAAGCATATTAAAATCAAGATGTACGCGTCATAAGCTCTTCTGCTACTTAAGTGTAAGTACATGCACACATACGTCAGTCGGCTGAAAACAGAAAGCAATCTTCTCGAGGCCATGGAACCCCGCGAGGTGTATGGGTGCGTGAACCGGCACTATCGCGAGGCACAAGAGTGCCCGCACCGGCACTATAGTGGGCATCCCTCAATAGCGCCGGTCTGGCACTACTGCTGTAGTGAGGGCTCTAGATATGTAGCTGTGCGCTGAGATTTTACCGGCACCATACCGGAAACCGGCACGATATTCAACCGGCACTAAACATGGACCTCTTCTGCCGTGTACCGAATACCCTTCCTTGTGGAGCAACCTGTCGTCAACAGCAGTACATTCTGCGGGTGCGCGCTTGCGTACACCCTCTTGATCGTGCTTATGCGACAATACCTACAAGCTCTTCGTCATGGGTATCGTATATGGAAACACTGCATATGTAGAGATTGAGTGTCGAAGCAACAGAACACGAAATTCCGAGGCTCACAAACGAATGGCTCGTATCTTGGTGATTCATGGGAACTATTCGAAATTCACCGCCCGGGGGGGGCTTACGTATGGGATTGTTTCGTTCGTGAACACCCTTTCAGGTGACGATTGGTTGACGGTAGTACTGGGCAGCAACACCACGGTGTCACGGCGGCGTGTGCCGTGTGCGTGTTGTCCCGCCGGCTCACAGCATCATTCCAGCGGAACGAGTCCACGCAGTCTTCAAGATCCGCTCGAAAAACATCCGGATACGAAGGCTGTACCTACAGTAGGTTACGACCGTGCATTCTCCGCGTGCGTGTGGTTACCTGTAAGCAGAGCGCCTCGGAAAACTCGCAGATACGAGACTACAGGGAAGCATTGAGTCGGATTCTCACTGGCTCGTTACCCTGCCCTTTGTTTCCACTGTAGTACATGGTCTGCCTCCACCAAATGCCGGGAAAAAGTTGAGCCGCAACCCCAAACGGGGAGGCATGAGTCTCATCGGACTGCGCTGATTCGTTTTGTTCGGTGTGGTTTCAACATGTAGTCCAGACGATATGACTTCAGATGACTCAGCTGGGAGTGCGGTATGTTGGAGCTTGGAAAATCATCAAAGGTAGGCTATTCGTGTTGGTTCGGTTCGATGTCCTCCAAGTGTCGTAGCGTTGCGGCTGCACACAGCTGCACTGACACTGCACGTCACATTAGCAAATTGGGTCGAGGAAATTACACTGCTGTAGTTGGTAGTCACAGCACAGCAGGTCATTGCTGTATAGCAGCTTGCAACTCGTGTTGGCGCGAAGCACCTGAATTCCCACATTCTCTCTGATCGCGGTCTTACCCACAAGGCTGTTGACCATCACAACGCTTCTTTGTACGTCCACATTCTGAGCAGCTCCGCCGCATTCCAAACAGGGTTGGCCGCGGGCGAGTTCCGTGCCGACCATCGCGGTTGTTCCTGCCGGAGTACACAGGTATCGTATCCATGGATGGTTTCGTTGTTGCTCTCGTAACGACGAGTCCGTGTTTTTATGGTGGGAGTTCAGGCGTTTCGTGTCTGGCCACGCATAGAGCCCGTCCCCTCTGAGCTTGCAACGGGGCAGACACAGGAAGAGAGGAGAAGAGGGGGAGACACCTAGCAAAGCATGTGCGACTACTGCGTGGAGAGTTTGAATTTGCGAAGTCTTTCGGGGGGGGGTGGTGATGATGGCGATTTCGTGAACGACTCGCTGCTGCCCTCCTATTGGCTAAAGTCTAACAGGATGCAGCCCGGAAAGTACCCGGGACGTTCCCAATTGAATTTCCCCGGACATGATGAGAAGATGATCCATGGTGTGTTACGGTGAAGGAACACAGCTACATTACGACGTAAACCTATGGATAGGATTTATCCCTGAACTTTGGCCATCGGCCGTCTAGTTAATGAGGTGTGTTCCTCCCGCCGCCCTTGACCTCAGATGCAGACTCCAACACATGCTCGCATGTGTTATGCACGCCTTCAGTTGGCCTCGCTAAAGGTTTGCCCGACTGTTATAGAAGGATTCAAACACATATACCGTGTATGACACGAGATAATCAACCCCCTTGACCAATTTTCGAAGCTCGATTTCTCAACTGCAGGAACAGTCACAGCGCCGAAAGCGGCGGTGTTGAAACCGTCTCGTCGAGAGCTTTTCGAAAATGTATCGTTTCGTTTATGCATCCTCTTCGTCGTGGAGTAATCGAGCTTTGAAAATCGGTCCAGGGGGTGTGTTATCTTGTGTCATATACGGTAAATACATGCGTAGACCTCACTGAGGTCTACCCTGCATGGCACCCATCAAGTCCTTCCATTAACTTGTGGGCTGCCTCGTGCCACCAAAAGGGAGTGTAGAGAAACGATGTACTTGCAGATAATGTTCTGTAGATGCTCTATTCGATTGGAACTCAAAGCACATCAACCGAACAAAACATTAGTGCGTGCTACCTGCTGACAAACTTTGCCGATATCATATCAAGCAGACGAGTAAATGTCAACCGGCGACACGCTCCATATCTTTCGGCTGCTATGATCACAATACTTCTACATGTACTCCAAAGTCAAGAAGAACCAAGGTTGTGACATCCTATTGCAATGCACACACACGCTCAAGAAACAGAGTAAACGCCCGTCCGGTTTTGATTCCCTTTGAGCTACCCAGAGCTTGCAAGCCAAGTTGGCTTCGGCCAGGATGTCCTTGTCACTCGGTTCAGAGTGCATCTAACATGCCATGCATCACATCCAACCGATTCTCTGCGCCAATGCTGTCTTCTTCCGTATCTGCCACCACCCCGCCCCCGTCACTCATTCCTGGCAACCTTGACAACCTCTCGGGAGCGATGTCCACGCTGTAAACCCTGCTTTCAACGCGCTCGGAGTGAAGGTTCATCTTCAAACCGCAACGCGGGTAGGCTGAGAATACTGAAGAAGCAAGCGGTGCAGTAGACGCCTGAGGGGAGCCGATACAACACTCGCGCTCGCCCTCAGTCGGCCAATCAGGAACCGTGTTGATAACCTTCTCGGGAATGTTGCATCCTGGCAACGTGCCGCTCTGGATCTGCCAGCCTCCTTCGACGATGGTCTCGCCCTTGTCACTGTCCGTTCCTCGTCCCTTCCACGCAGGTATCAATGCTATCAACGGATGGTGCCGAGAAAGCCTTCAGTTTGCCTGAAACGAGGTCCATCGCCCTACCAGTGGGTGTTGCGGTCAAGCGTTGTTTTCGTGTCGACGGGGAGGACGGTCCATCGTGGTTGGTCGCGTGTGAGTCCAAGCCCAAGTCAAGAATATCGCCTTCGTACTACCGCCCAACGCACGCCATCATCCTCACCGTAATGCGGTTAGGCACCACTAGCTGTGTAAAGTCCCGCTTTCCGGCATCCGTGTGCCCAAGTTTCTGTACCGCATGCTCGGCAAGGGTCTCATACTTTCGAACATGCATACCTGCAAAAGGAATCGTCGCAGAAGGCATCCACTCCGTCCCACTCCTCCAAAGGGGGTACGGGCCGCGAGCCAGCAGGGCGAAACAAATTGTAGGACCCCCGCAACCTGCAATACACCGCTTGAGCTCTGGACCCACCAACCGCTGCGAGAGATACCAGCGCTATGTGGGCCAGGTGGCATATTTCATGGACCGTGGGTAGTACGGGGCAGAACAAAACATACGGCGTTCGACAACGACGATTTGTAGCA